GCCAGCCTGCACCCCAGCCACAGTGATGAAGATACCAGAGCATGTTTGTTGAAGGCGAAGGAGACCTCCCCGTTGTGTACACAAAGTGTAATTTCAGTGAATTATGCATAGACTTAATTAGGAGTTTTAATTGCTAATCATCTCCCAACAGGATTAGCAATGCTGTCTATTAATTATCTGTGGAGCCCTCTGTTTTGCTAAGGCAGGAGTAACACAGCAGCATGAATGGTTACGTAGGCCAGTAATAAATTAACTCCCCCAAGCCCCGTGGCTCCCAGGGGGCTGCCGGCAGCGGGGGCTGTGTAGGGGCTGGCCCTACCTGCGCTGGGGAGAGCAGCAGGTAGTGGGGGCAGAGGGACCGGCAGCAGGTCCCCGTGGCAGGCAGGTGCGTGGTGGGCTGGTGGGGGGACCACTCAGGTCGGTGGTGGGCTGGTAGGGGGACCGCTCAGCTCTGCTTGCCCAGTTTGGCTCCATTCCCACTGCAGAGAGCATCTCCCCCGGCGTTCCCGGCCCATGGAGGGTGCAGGTGATGCCCTGCCGCACCGTGGCTGTGGTTAGCGATGATCCCCGCTGCAGGAGGGAGATAGGGGCTGCCAGATTGACCTGATCTCATCTGGGGACAATGGCCCTCACAGCAGCAGAGATAGCACCGGCATGAGCGACGCTAAGCCCACGGGCCCTTCTTACTGCTGACAATGCGGCGCTGAGCTTAATTCCTCAAGATGAAGAAGATACGTGGCTGTCAGGCTGTAATTACAGCCGTGCGTGTGACACAGGGGCCTGGCAGCTTTCACGTTTGTGTTGTCCGATGGGTTTTTGTGCTGCTCGGGCTCCTGCCTGCCTCGCTTCTGCTGGGAGCCCTACCAGGGGACACGGTGGGGATGGAGCAGGGCTCTGTGCGGTGGGGTGAGCAGCACTGGCTCCTGTTTGGGTTTGTCCTGGTGATGGAGAGCCCCGAGGTAACTGGTGCTCTGGGGATGGAAAGGAGAGGGGTCTGGAAGGGCTGTGCTTGCTGGAGGGGAAGGGGGCTGCCAGCCTGGGCATGGGCACCCCCTTTCCAAACCCCACTGACTTGTGCTGCCAACCCCATCCTTGGTGAAGCAGGAGTCGGGGGACGATGTTGGAGCAACCCAGGGACATGTGGGACAAGTCCACAGTCCCCAGCTCACCCCAGTGTGGCAAAGGTGGCCTCGGGTGATGCTGATCCAGCACAGCTCCCATCAAACTTCATGAGGCTTGTCACCTGTACAGGGACAGGCCCTGGACACCTCTTCTTTGAGGAGCATCAGGTGGGACAGGCCAGCGTGAGGGTGCTTCGTGCAGGCGGCTCCAGGAGAGCTGGTACGAGGGCGATGTGCAGGTGGGTCCACACCAAATACCAGGAGCGCAGACCCACGCCTGCCCCGGGAGCAGCCAGGCCTGGGCAAGTACAAAACGTGTGTGCGCTGTGCACCGGTCTGACCCTCTGCTTCTCTCTTCCAGGCGTACAGCTTTGCCATGGGGAGTTGGCCAAAGAACGGGCTCTTAGACATGAACAAAGGACTGAACCTACAGCACATAGGGAGGCCTCACAGCGGGATAGGTGAGTGCTGCCGCCCCGCGCTCTTCCCATCCCCGCGGCTGCTGATCCGGGTGTGCAGGATGTGCCTTGGCTCTGAGAGCTGGTCCAGGCTGGGGTGCTGAGAGCCAGCCAAAGGGCTGTGAGGTCTTGAGCTGGTGGAAGGGACAAAGATGTGTCAGGGGAGGATGAGCTCTTGGCCCCTGGCACATCCCAGCGTGGCAAATACACCTGCCTGTCCCTCTGGCCAGGGAGTTGCTCCTTTCCTCTGCCACTCTGGCAGTTCTCGGGGTGCATGTGGGCAGCACCAACACTCGCATGGTGCCTGGAGCACAGTGCAGGGATCCCCAGGCTGGGAGAGAGACTCTCCTTGTTGGGCCAGTCCTCCAGCTGCTCTGGATGCTGCATCTGTCCTTGGAACAGAGGTGCTGCCAGGCGATACAGCCCTAGGAGCTGGCTGGAAACATGCTGCAGAGTGAAGATGCATGTCCCCAGCTGGAGAACTGAATCATAGTCCCATTTGCTCACATATGTGATGAGTTTCATGGTCCTGCAGCCGGCTCCAAGGTAAACAACTGAGAATACCATGCACAGTGGCAGAGCTCCATGTTTCCCCTAGCTCCTCCCCACCAGGGATCAAAGTGGTACAAGAAGGGAGACCTGGACCAGAACACTGAGGCCATATATCTGCCTGCTGCTGTACGCTGGGGGTGCGGAGCTGGGGCAGCAGCAGGCTGCAGTACGGGCAGGAGCTCAGATTTACTGGGCTGTAGGCAGGACTGTAACTCAGGGCTGCATTGCTCTTGCTTGTCTTGTTTCTGTGCGGGGCATTGGATCATCTCATGGAGACCAGTAGTCAGGTATTCCCTCCCAGCCCTTCATCCACGATGACTTGTGAGCATTAAAGTTTGCAAGGAGGTAAGATTTCCTTGGAAAAGTCACCGGCTACCCAGGCCTTGAAGAGGCTGCTTAATATTGTTTCAAGACTAACCATTAAACTCTCCAATCAATCCAAGTTAAGGAGATGAATTATTTAAAGCTCACCAGCTTTTAATTAGCAAGCTCCTTTTGAACTATGGATCTGGTTGCATTATTGACAGAGGTAGCATTAAAATTTGCTTCCTTGCCTGGAAGCAGATTTGCTTTGCTTGTGTGCCATGTTGGGGGGATGACGGGGAGGGAGCAGGATTGCAGGAGTTGTGTGTGCGTGTCCTGCTCTGGGGACTTGAGCTTTTCCTAGGGTCTCCTGGGGGATGCAGGGTTGGTTTGTGCATCGTCTTTCCTGATTTTATTTATGGCAAGAGCTCTCTGTTGGGGGACTTGGGCTTTTCCTAGGATCCTGCTCTGGGGGATGCAGGGTTGGTTTGTGCATCGTCTTTCCTGATTTTATTTATGGCAAGAGCTCTCTGTTGCTGTCATCTCTTAGTCTGACAAAGCGTCCCCAGCTCTGGTGTATCACCTGTCTGCTGTTGGTTTTTGCCCATGTTTATCTCAGTGCTGGTGTCCTGCACAGGTGTCTCTCTGCCTGACGGAGTTCAGAGAGATGCTGTTCCCTCCCCGCTCCAGTCCTTTAGGAGGGTTTTGCTTCTTCATTTCTGCCAAGCTCCCTCTGTGGAGGAGCATTCCCAGCCCTCCCTGGAACAGGGTGACCCACAGGTAGATGGCTTATGGAGAAGCAAGGCCCAGCACCAAGCTCCCTTCTTGCAGTACTCTGTCCCAGTGGCAAACCTGCCTTTCACACAGTTTGGAGCGGGGTTTACATGAGTGCTGTGAAGGATGCCAGGTGAGCAGTGTGACGGTCTCCATCTCCCTGGCACCACCAATGGTGCATACATGCCTGGTGTGTTGCAGCCTGCTGGCTGCTCCGTTTGGGCTGGGTCCAGAGCAGCTCTGCTCCGTGTGTCTGCGATCCTCTGCCTGCCTGCAGTGGCAGCAGCTGCTGGCATCCCATGCCTGGTGGCTTTACCACAAGCTGAGCCCCTGGGAGTGAGCTGGAGGCATGCACAGTGCATTGAACAGCAGCTGGGGAGAACAGCTTCTCCTCCTGGCCAGCTTGGGAGTTCCAAAACCAGCTGCTGCCTGTGGTGTCAGGGCTGCTGGCTTCCTGCCTGGCATCCTGCCTGGGAGAAGGCTTGGGGCAGTGCTGGTGTCTGGAGACGTGCCTTGCCTGGCATTTTGTCAGAGTACCAGCTTCCTGGCTGTCTGGACACTTCAGTGCCTGTTAGCTTCTCAGGTCCTAGACATGGATCAAGCTTTGGGTCTAAGTGACAGCCCGAGAGGTCCCCAGGCCAAGAGCTGAGGAGGGGCTGCTCACTGCGGAGGTGACCTGGCTTCCCTGGATCCGGCTTTGCTGCCTCATCCTGGGGCAAGCATTGGTTCTGCAGAGCCAAGTCCTCCCATATTGACCACTGGGACTGGGCACTATCATCCTAATTGCTGACCTGAGCAGCCCTCACCACTCTCCTCCTTCATGCTCTCAACTGCTCTTGCGTCTGGGTTGGGAGGAGCCATCCCTTTCCCTGCCAAGGGCTGTCCTCCCCTTCCCTCTCTGGCTGTAAGGAACCCTGCTCCTGACACAGCCCTGCCCACTCAGCCAAATAAATGACCCCTTCTCAAGGACTGCTGCTGGAAGAAGAGAGTGGAGAACAGTGAAGCACACTGCCTGCCCGCACAGCTCTTGCTGCCCACAGTGAGACAAGAGCTGGCTGTGGCTCTGGGGATGCTCCTGTGCGGTCTAGAGCCTCCTTTGCTTTTGTGGCTGGTCCCAGAGTACCGCATGGTTGAGGGAAGGTGGGGAGCTGAGAGGTGGGTCCCCCGGGCTGCCCAAGGTGGGTTGCTGATGTCCAGAAGTCTGCAAACCAAAGAGGGCTGAGGAGGGAGCAGCAAAGCAATGCATTAGTCAGCCGCAGTGATTTCATGAATTCGTGCCGTGCAGGAGAGCCTCTGCGCACCCCTTTCCCAGCAGCAAGGCCGTCGGTCCGGGGGGATGCAGGCAGTCCTGTGAAGCCTCAGCTCACTTATGCAGGGGTGAGCAACATGGGTGTTCTCCTTCAAATCTGACAGAAAAATTGCAGTGGATGGCCACTTGTTTTTGCAAACAATTTGCAAGGAATTTTGCTGTCTCGCCCGATTGGTTGTGTATTGCTGTGTTTTCAAATCACTCTCTGATGCACTGGCTCAGCAGATACCTGCTCCAAATCCCTGTGCTTCGCATGCTCTGGTACCAGTCCCACTCCGTGCTTCATCTCCTCTCCTTCATCTTGTTCAAAATCCTGGAGTTCAGAGTGCTGGACACCCTGCAGGGCCAGGGCTGGATTCTGTATGGGAACCTCACCTGTAGCCTCTGGTGTGTGTGGGCAGGAGGGGCTCGTGGTGGACCACGGTGGAGTCTTGGACCACATCCCCTGGGACGTGCAGCTGGGCACACACGGCAGCCAGCTGCTGAACAGGGCTCACGTTCTAGCTTTTCTCTGATTTCTGTTCACAAGCAAGCAAGCTGCAGATCTTGTCAAAGGGTTAGTAAAATGGTTTGTGTCACCAGAGTGTTTTGTGTCACCAAATAGAGTATATTTGCATACACTGCAAATCCAGCTGCCTTGGGGTTGGATGGGTAAGGGTCTGCTGCAGTTGTTTTCTTGGTAGGGAAAAGGGAAAGGAAGGGGAGAAATGTCAATATTTCAGCTTGTTGAGAAGTGCTGGGTAAAATAAGGAGGTAGGAAAGTCCTGCTCCAGGGAGTGAGGATGCAGAAAATCCTTGGGAGGTGGGAAAGGAGCAAAAGGGGAGTGAAAGCTGTTCTCTCTTGCCTTTTCTTGGGTTGGTAATGTGGCTGTCAGGACCAGAGAGGAAGACTTTCTGTAGCTTCCGTCTCTCCTCAAATATGGATTAAATGGGTGTCAGCTCTAGCATGGGCTGTAGGATCTTGGGGTGAGGAACTTTTTTTGTCTGGTTGGTTTTTGGCCCTCAACAAAATGAAGATTAGTTTTGCCAAGAAGTTGCTCATCTTACAGACATGCGCACATTGAGTTTCTTAAAACGTGTTTGGGGTGCTGCTTGCCCAAAAAGAGCTGCAGCTTGTAAGGGGGTCTTGGCATTCCCATGCAAAGACCAGTGTTCACAGGCTCTGCACCACTGGAGCTGGGTGCTTGCATTGGGGTCTCTCTACTGAGTTTCAGAGACTGATCTAAATCAGAAGGATTAAAATCCCATGCTGTAGTTATCATTTAAATCAGCCAGTAGGGCACATGGATTCAGTCATTGATTTTCTCTATTTTTGCATTTCTTTTTTTTTTTTTTACCTCTTTCTGTGAAAAAGTTGAAGCTTTACTGACCAGCACCTATCAAACTGAGTGTAGCTCTCCTTACCCCTGCCCAATTGTTATATCTTTATTCTTTTATTTGTCAGATGTCCTGTATTTGTTACATTTAGTTTGATCAATTATATAACATTGTATGCCTTTAGTCTTAGTTTTTAGGTATTTGTTACATTAGAAAAATGGTGAATTGCCATTTGTTATTAAAGAAGCGATTATTAAATTATTACTCATGATTTGAGTTGTGATACTTTTGGATGAAAACTGGAATGCGATGCTAAAGTACCCCAGCAGTAATTTGAATTGGTTTTATTAGTAAAAACCTGTTTCGCTTTCATGTGCTCAATACAGAAGGAAAAGTAAATTTTAGAATACTTTTTAGTTAAAAACACCTTGTGTGTGAAACCAAAACAAGAAGCGATTGGTAAGCTGAAGATGTTTCTGTGATTTTAGAATTAGCACATCTCATCCTCTCCCACCTTAATTTGTTGCTTTGTTTGTTTCCCTGATTATGGAAAAGATAGAAAGCACTCCTTTTTTTTCCACTCCTTTGTTCTTTGTCAGCCATCTAGTGAACAGAAAACACTGAAAACAGTAAAAAGTTTCAAAATCTGGAGAAGCAGCTGCTGCTGGGAAAGTTTGTTTTTCATTTGTCAGCTCTGCTTCCACCTCCAGTGCATTGACTGTCTAAAACATGATGTTACCCCTTGCTGCTGGTCCTTTTTGAATCTAATTGAATTTGATTAAATCTTTAAAGTTTAGG